GTAAAAGGTTGGGAACCAGTTAGATGGGATGAATTTAGGGCACTGAACAGAAAAATAAATGGAAGCCTACTGGGGAGAATGGGAGTTGTCTAGTACCATGTTGGTTTCAGTGCTTTTTGCCCTAAAGGGTTCCTTGAGTTCTGGTTCAGGTCAAGATATCTCCTACTAATGTGGCACTATACATAGCTACCCAACAGCTGAAAACATTAGACAAAACACCAAAATTAGGAGGCTTCCACCTATGTTCTGAACAACTCAGGGATGAAGTAGCTGAATTTGGGTTTAGACCAAATGTCCTTCTGTAGACTTTTGCAGCCTCAACAGTTCTGTGATTCTATCAATTACTATCTGTGGTGTGTGATCTCTCACTTAGAAGTGCCTAGCTACCCAGGTCCCTCTCTGCCAGTCAGAGAGGGACCTGGGGTGCTGATTGACAGCTGGCTGAACAGGAGCCAGCAGTGTGACCAGGTGGCCAAGAAGGCCAATGGCATCCTGGCTTGTGTCAGCAATAGCGTGGCCAGCAGGGACAGGGAAGGGATCTCACCCCTGTACTGGTGAGGCCGCACCTCGATTCCTGTGTTCAGTTTTGGGCCCCTCACTACAAAAAGGACATTGAATGACTTGAGCGTGTCCAGAGAAGGGCAACGGAGCTGGTGCAGGGTCTGGAGCACAGGTCGTATGAGGAATGGCTGAGGGAACTGGGGGTGTTTAGTCTGCAGAAGAGGAGGCTGAGGGGAGACCTTATCACCCTCTACAGCTACCTGAAAGGAGGTTGCAGAGAACTGGAGATGAGTCTCTTTAACCAAGCAGTAACCAAGCGATAGAAAATGAGGTAATGGCCTCAAGTTGCACCAGGGAAAGTTTAGACTAGATATCAGGAACCATTTCTTTACATAAGGTGTCATTAGGCGTTGGAATGGGCTGCCCAGGGAGGTGGCAGAGTCCCCATCCCTGGAGGTGTTTAAGAGTCAGGTCGACATAGCACTGAGGGATATGGTGTAGGTGGGAACTGTCAGTGCCAGGTTAATGGTTGGACTGGATGATCTTCAAGGTCTTTTCCAACCTAGATGATTCTGTGATTCTGACTTTCAGTAGCAAATGTGGCACCTGGATCACAGGGGGGATCCAGAGAGTCGCAGAGCAGGAAGCCAAATCACTGAAATCTACAGTTTGGAACAGAAGGTGGTGGAAATAGAAAATACTAAGGAAAATCCAGCAAGGCTTTTTTTTGATTTATACCTCAGAAACATGGAAACTATTTGAGGGCATCAAGTATGTAAGCAAGGTTCAGAGGAGTTTGTACAGTTGACTTAGATTTCCAAAAGCTCTTCCCAGCAGAGGGCAGTCCCCCAGCGCAGGCCCATTCAGCCCTGCACTGGTCAACATAATCATAAATCATCAGGAAAATAGGATAAAGCAGTAAGATATTTTGGGAATTCTGTATTATTGAGGAAAACAGTGATTATGTCAAACATTGAAGAACTGCTGAAAGACCCTATAATACACTAGATGATGAAACCACAGCTGAAATTCAGTGTAGATTTAGACAAGAAGGCAGAAACTATCCTATCTTTATATGGACAGCGATAGCTTCTAAACTATTACCAGTCAGGAATGAGATCTATAGAAAAATGGATAATTCCATAAAAACACCATCTCCAATGTGTCCGTTCACTCACCTGCTGGGAGCGGCACCATTAGGTCAAAGCAAGAGCAACACATTGGCAGGACAGGATGGACAGGAAAGGATTAAGTTCATTGTGCAGCTGATACCACCTGCAACTTGCTGCCTCCTGCAGCCATCACATTCTGCCTTTGTGCATATTAAACCTTTGGAAGTTGCTTCAGAATTCACTAACTTATGGAAATGGTATAGATCAAACTTCCTAGCAAGAAGGTATAAATGCCATCAACTTACGCAAAAAGCTTTTGGAGCCAATCCAACAGCAGCCACACTGATGAGGCTTTTGTGCTTGCTGATGTGATACGGGGGATGCCCGCACTGTGACGGAGGAGAAAGAATGAGCACTCTCACTCTTGACTAGGTAACTACTTTGCTTATAGGTGCACAAGTTATGAGTTATGAATTAGAGAACCTGTGAGTTAGAAACTTCATGAATTAATGAAGTGATAACTTAGCAAAATCACTATTTAGACAAGTCTGTACAAAAGGGGATTGAGGCCCTTGTTTGACATGCTTGTTTGCCTTCTTTCCGAATGAGCTCATAAAATAAAGTTCAAACTCAGAGTATAATTGTCCTGTGAATATGTGATATCTAAGTGAATCATGACACTCCAAATTCAGAAGTAATCAACAAAATCAAACAGTAAGTATTATTAGGAAAGCAACAGAAGACAAAACAAAAAACACTGAAAAGCCACTGTGCACATTTGATGTATTCACATCTTGCAGACCACCTGCAGGTCTGCCCCTTAAAGAAAGACAGTCCTAAGGAGCAAAGGAGGATAAATGCCCAAGCTATGGACTAGAACAAGACTAAAATAGACCAAAACTTTTCAGTTTGGAAAGAGACAACAGTGATGTGATCAATGGATATAAAATCATAAATTGGACTAAGAAAATGAATAGCACTTTTCCTGTGTTTCAGGAAAGCTAATCAGTGGACACTGGAAGGGAAAGGATGCAGGACAGTAATGCTACAGCCTCTCATGTTTCTTCCTAGGCATCTGTTGACAGCCTGTTGTAGGCAGGCTACAGATCTGTATGAACTTCTAAGTGACCTAGTATAATTGTTCTTCTGTTCAGTGTACTAGCTTCTCATTTTGTCAGTCCCTTCCTGATCTCTCAGAGCAAGCAGGAAATAAAACAAGACAAGGGGAAAGGCGCAACAGAACCTGACTGGCAAAAGAAGGAAGCAGACAGGATTCTTGTTTAATGAGAATCACCATCCACTTTAACAGTCCCCATGCCTATTGCTGCCAGTCTGACTTAATGGTATCTTACATCACTGTTTTACCATAATTTAAAGCATGCCTCTGGGTGAATGTGATGCAGCACCATGAGTGCCAAAAATGATTCAGAGGATGGTGCTTAAAAAAATGAAAAGATGGTCCCTCTTCTAAGGGGTTTAGAAGCTCCCAGAGGGTGAACACATTGCTTGGCCAGTCTGGTGCCGTGGCTGCAGTGCAAGAGGGTGCAGTGGCTCTGTGAAGCAGGCAGTACCATAAGCATGGCAATCATGGCAACTGCATGTCCAGCAGATGCATGCCCATGACTGAGCTTTTTAATAGATATATTCAGATATTGAAAGGAAAGGAGTGTGAGAGTGACCTTCATGACATATCATCAGACTGGCCTTCATGACGTATCATCAGAAAACTGACACAGGTCTGAAACCTTAACTGAGAAGTTTTTCTGGTGCCTAGCAATGGTTGAATTCACACACCAGCCTTCTTCCTGCAATTGAAGGTGGTGAGGGAGACTTGGCTGAGGTCTCTCTTCTTCCCTGGGCCACTGCAAGAGTTGTGCAGTCTTGCAGCTGCCACTTCTTTTTGTCAAATTTGGTTTAAAATGGCCAAGACATCCCAAAAATCAGCAGCAGGAAGGAGGCGAAGGGCCCTCACGCAGTACCACTGCAGATGTCACATTCCCTGCAGTCAGATTAAAGAAAAATAAACCAGACTCCAAACCCCACTGAAAGCCTTTTGGTTGACCCCGGATGTCTGGGAGCATCTCAGCAGGAGAAGGGAGACTCCGGTCTTGCAGGCAGTGAGGGCACCTCAAGCACCCAGGGCTGGGGCTTTGTGGCGGTGCAGTTTCTCTCCCCCGCAGCCCCCCTGGGCCACGCAGTGTTTAGTGTGATTCGAACCCCCTCCCAGGCCACATACCAGTCTGAGGAAAACAACAGTGATAATGACAGTAAACTAGAGTGAAGGTGCCCCTTTAATGAGTCTGGTTCCTGCTCTCCCTATCAACTGAGAGCAATAAGAGAATTGCACACACATCAAGTTCTTGTTCAACCGGAAGAAGACACCAGAATACCTCCTTGGTTGAGGTGGACCAGAGTGAAAATTATCTGAAAAAAGTCAATTACCTGAGACCTGTAAATAGCATCCAAAGTGAGACCACAGGGGGTCTGTGACCAGCATCTCCCCTGAGCTGGGTCACCTCTCAGGCATTAACTCCCCGAGGTATGGTCTGCTGACAGAGCTGATGGGAAGCCAGGGCAAAGTCGACCTGCTCGAGTCTCAATTATCGCCCACTGAGGAATGCCGATGCACTGTGAGTATTTATTCTAAACTCGAGAAGACGGAAATTTTAACTGTGAGTTAGCTTCTCTTTGATGCATTCTCTCCCTGCTTACCTACTGGGTATATTTTTTTTTTTTTTTTTTTTTTTAATTTATTTTAGAGCATTACATTGTATGGCATGGAATATCTTTTTGGCCAGTTTGGGCTTGCTGTCCTAGCTGTGTCCTCTCTCAGCTTCTTGCCCACCCCTAGCATACTGGGAGGTGGGAAGCAGAGTGAAGAAAAAGAGAGAGCCTCAACACTGTTCAGGCACTGCTCAGCGGTAGCTATAACATTGTTGTGTTATCAACACTGTTTTGGTTACAAATCCAAAACATAGCACAGTATGGTCTGTTCTGAAGAAAGTTAACCATCCCAGCCAGATCCAGTAACTCTTGCCATCAAATTCAGGTTAAAAAAGTTCACTATTTCAAAACTAGAAAAACAGAGTTTGGGTAGTGAAACAATAAAATCCGATATCCTACATTTATGGGGCTGGGAATAAAATCCCATCTGCTTTAGAATGTGTGTAAGATGGTTGTTGTCTGTTGAAAGATCTTTCTACATATTAGCAGGGAGAAGGAAACACTATCAAGTAATCATCTGGAAAACAAGAAGAAAGAATAAACTTGTATAAGTCTTTCAATTAGAAATGTAAACCCATAGCTATAAAAATCTAAAAATTGTGAGTTCAGACAGTCTGTATGAGCACATTGTACTTTTAATCTTGAAATCCTTCTTTTTTCCCTCTACCCAAGGTCTGTGTGCATTATAACAAAGGTGATGGACCTTACGGATCTTGTACCTATAAAAAGATGTGCACCAAACTGCATGTTTGCCAGTACTTTTTGCGGGGACAGTGCAGGTTTGGCACCAACTGCAAGCGATCCCATGACTTACTAAATTCAGAATGTTATGAGAAACTGGAGAGACAGGGAATGAGCTCAGACGTTATTGAGAAACTACCCTCCATTTATAGGAATATGTATGACATACAAAATGGCAACAGCAACATGTATGACATAGAAGATGCCAAGTCTTCACCTTGCAAAGGTAAATGATACCATCTTTTGAAAATATTAGAAGAGTCACTGTAGTGAATGTAACATTCTCACAGATGTCATGAAGAAAAACTGAATTCACATCTTGATGTGTCTTTTAGGAGGGACCTTGCACATTTCTCATTGTCAGATTTGGGTGAAGTGTGAAGATGAAGTGATTTTTCAAGGCTTTATGGGTTCCTGAGAAATAAAGTGCTTGGTGTTTATAACAAATTTGGGGTTAGAAAAGCATAACAGGAACTGGAAAGAAGGAGAAATGTTATTTTTTTTCTTGGTAAAAAACATAAAGATAGAGAACTGTTTAGGTGTGGCGTTTATTTGTGTGATTATAAACTACTTTATCCTTTAATGTAGCAACTGTCTCACACAAGAATTCACAGACAGCACTATACTAGTTATTTCTCAGAGATCTAATATTTTGATTGTTCTTTTCTTTTCAAGTTCCTTAGAACTGTAAGTTAAGCAGGAAAGAGGATAACAGAATGGAAAATCCAAGTGTGTGTGTGTGTTCATCTCTCTTATTCTCCCTGCAGTTTCTTCCTCCCTTCTTTATGTCCTTAGGTGTGCTTTAATTTACATAAGTATCAGATTTTGAGACTTCAGGTTTTATAGCTGCCAATGTGAACAGCTATGTGGAATGCACGGTTAACTCAAGTCCATCTAGAACAGGAAAAGCATTGGATTCTGTTCTTGTTTTGTGAAGATAGCTAAAAATTGTATCTGAGGAATTTAGCAGTTACAGGAAAGTCAAGTTCAGGAAGGAAGGATGGGACTTCTGAGTATTCAAGATCATCAAAAACTTCAGTGTCTTTCTGGAGCTGAATGAAGTTACATAGTTAAAAACATTGCTTTTAGGCATCTTCCCTACCCATAGGTGTGTTTTTAAGAGGGCTTGTTGAAACAAAGTGAATTAATAAGGCTTATAATTCCCCACTCTAGAGAGAAAACACAGCTCTAGCCGAGAGTCCTCAACTACAAATGATGATGAAATGGAACAGATCTGTTTATATCAACTGTACAGAACCTGTGGCTTTAAAGGTAGGTTGTGAATGTACCAAGTCCTGTCTATTTTCCTTTTATAATAAAGTGATAGAAATCTTTCATAGAAAGGGGAAATTTCAGAGTTTACACATCTTTATTTAAATCTCATTGTGATCTTGAGTGCTGGTAGGAAGTAGTTGTGAACAGTTAAATCCATTTGGTGGCCGGTCACGAGTGGTGTCCCCCAAGGCTCGGTTTTGGGGCCACTCCTGTTCAACATCTTTATTGATGATCTAGACGAGGGGATCGAGTGCACCCTCAGTCAGTTTGCAGATGACACCAAGTTGGGTGGGAGTGTTGCTCTGCTCGAGGGTAGGGAGGCTCTGCAGAGAGACCTGGACAGGCTGGAGCCATGGGCTGAGCCCAACTGGGGGAGTTTCACTAAGGCCAAATGCCGGGGGCTGCCCTTGGGCCACAACAACCCCCAGCAGCGCTACAGGCCTGGGGAGGAGTGGCTGGAGAGCTGCCAGTCAGAGAGGGACCTGGGGTGCTGATTGACAGCTGGCTGAACAGGAGCCATCAGTGTGCCCAGGGGGCCAAGAAGGCCAATGGCATCCTGGCTTGTGTCAGCAATAGCGTGGCCAGCAGGGACAGGGAAGGGATCTGACCCCTGTACTCGGCACTGGTGAGGCCGCACCTCGATTCCTGTGTTCAGTTTTGGGCCCCTCACTACAAAAAGGACATTGAATGACTCGAGCGTGTCCAGAGAAGGGCAACGGAGCTGGTGAAGGATCTGGAGCACAGGTCATATGAGGAATGGCTGAGGGAACTGGGGGGTTTAGTCTGGAGAAGAGGCTGAGGGGAGACCTCATGGCCCTCTAGAGCTACCTGAAAGGAGATTGCAGAGAACTGGGGATGAGTCTCTTTAACCAAGTAATAAGTGAAAGGACAAGAGGTAACGGCCTCAAGTTGTGCCAGGAAAGTTTTAGACTGGATATTAGGAAGCATTTCTTTACACAAGGGGTCATTAGGTGTTGGAATGGGCTGCCCAGGGCAGTGATGGAGTCCCCATCCCTGGAGGTGTTTTAAGAGTCGGGTCGACATATCACTGAGGGATATGATGTAGTTGGGAACTGTCAGTGCCAGGTTAATGGTTGGACTGGATGATCTTCAAGGTTTATTCCAACCCAGATGATTCTGTGATTCTGTGAAGGTGTTTGACCTACCTAATATACCAAACAAAGGAGCTGTTTTGTTTTACTCCGAAATGTATAATAACTGTCTGTGTTGGAGATTGGCTACTCCACCTGTGTTCACCTAAGGGACTGATGAATTATAGGAATCCCATTTTAAAATATCTACAAAAGGTACTGTGAATACTACATTCTTCCTTGTTTCTTCTAGCACTCTGCTGTTCCACCTGTCTGAGCTCCTGTCCCTTTCAAAATGTCCAGGAAAAAGGCTGCTGTGCCAGCTTTCTTTTCATCTTTCCTGGTTTTGGCTGGGATAGAGCTAATTTTCCTTCTTAGCTAGAGTAGTGCTGTGTTTTGGATTCAGTATGGGATTTGATACGAGAAGAATGTTGATAATACACTGATGTTTGTAGTTGTTGCTAAGGAATCAAAGACTTTTCAACTTCCATGTCCTGCTGGCATGCGGGTGCAAAAGAAGCTGAGAGGGAGCATAGCAAGAGCAACAGACCCAAATTGGCCAGTAGCATGTTTCATATCCTATAGCGTCATGCTCAGTGTCTAGATGAAGGTTGGCTGAGAAGCCGAGGCGCTCTCCTGGGATTGTGGTTTTGGGATTTCCCTCCTTTGGGATTGCTAGCAGGGAATGGGCTGGGCAGTGATCAGCAGGTTAATGATTTCATTGTGCATCACTCGATTGTATATTTTTATTATTATTGTATGTATTTAATTTCAATTATTAAATTGTTTTTATCTCAACCAGAAGTCTCCTTACCTTTACACCTCCAATTCTCTGCCCCATGCCCCAGGGCAGGTGAGCAAGCGAGCAGCTGTGTGGTGTTCAGCTGCCTGTCAGGTTTAAACCATGATATTATCCTTTTGTCATATTTTTCCTACTTCATGTTCTTGACCTGTAGTAGCTCCCTGATGTAGTCCACACCTTCTCATCTAAACTGTGTGGTACCGTCTCCTTGACTTTCTCTGCAGTTAAGTTGTTATTCTTCTATGAAGGCTAGCCTTAAGTTTGTGCATATGTGTACTGGTGATGTGATCTTCACTGCTGTTGAGGAACAACTGCATTCTGACTCTGAATGATTTCTGGGTAACATTTGCGATACCTGTGCCACTAGTACCACTACTCTTGTTCCTGGTGAGGCCTGGAGACCTCTTTAAGTCTCTAAATGAGCTACCTCCTATCCTAAAATGAAGTAGTGTTGCAGGTGTTTTTCCTCAGTAATACCACTTTGGGACTAAGTGGTTAAGCCTAAGTATTTGAGTTTGCACTGTTACTTTATATATGAAATAATAGCCTTATGTGCTTGTGATCTTGATTCATTGTAACCATTTGTCACTGAAACTGAGAAGACAGAATGGTCCTTCACCACTGAGCTCCTGCACAAAGAGAATCTAGTAGGTACAGAAACTGAACTTCTGCCTAAGCTCAAAAAAGAAGTTTTGCTTGCTCACACTGAAAAATTCTGAACTACCGCTTGTAATGATTCCATAGATGAGCGTTTTCCATAGCTATGCATTTGATAACTTTTACCAGCTAGGTGTACAGCCCTGAACTGTTAGAATTTTTCTTATTGCTTGTAAAAATAATGCATATCTTTTCTTTTTTTTAATTTCTAGACAAGTGTATGAGAACTCATTTTCACTTGCCATATAGATGGCAGATCTCTGATGGTAATACCTGGAAGGACTTGAAGAACATGGAAGAAATAGAAAAAGCATATTGTGACCCCAGGAATGCCAGGTATAAACTTACAAAATGTACAAACTTAAAGATGTTTGGAGTTTTCTATATTGGACTAGGCCCTTAGCAGCTATAAATTGCTATGATTCTTTTGCAGTCATTATGTCAGTAGCTTCATTCTTCTGCAGACCTCAATTTTCCGATTGATCTACTGTTGCCAGAGGTCTGATCCATTGTGACATACTTATGTCTGGAGTCCGTATAGGACCCTCTGGGTTACCCTACTGAGTTTGGCTGGGATGGAGTTAACTTTCTTCATAGCAGCCCTTATAGTGCTGTGTTCTGGACTTGTGACTAAAACACTGCTGATAATGCACCAGTGTTTTAGGTATTGCTGGCAGTGCTTGCCCAGAGTCAAGGCTTTCTCTCTCCCACTCTGCACTGTTCCTCCACAGTGGGTAGGCTGGGGGTAGGCAAGACATTGGGAGAGGGTCGGCTGGGATAGCTGACCTGAACTGACCAAACGGATCTCCCATACCAAATAACATCATGTTCAGCAATAAAATTGGGGGCAGGGAAAGAAGAAGGTTGGGGTTTAGTTACCAAGGTGGCTGCTGTTTGGAGGCTGGCTGGCCATTAGACTGCCTGGGGAGGTGGTGAGCGATTTGCTTTTGTTTGTTTGTTTGTTTACACTTCCCCCTTCCTCATCTATTGAACTGCCTCACAACTTTTCTTGCTTTTTGTACAGGGAAGGGGAGGGGGAGTGTGTGAGCTGTTCACTGTGGGGGTACTTGGTTGCTGGCCAGGGACAATCCACCACAGTTATTTTATGACTGACGCGTAGAGTCTAGTGTTCTGTGCTGTGAAAAAAAGGTATAAATACTTCCTACTGCTGCTACCATAGAAAGTCTTAATCCTCAGTAAGAATGGCTGGAAAACTGCAGAGAGTGATGATTTTATCAGAAGTAGTTGTGAGAGTCTGTCTTTGGTTAGAGCTTGTCAATACGCAGCTTGACCTCATGATTAGAAATAACCTTCTCTTTCATCTTTTGAGCTGGAGGATGAAAAGGTAGCATGAGATTTGCCCCTCTCACCCTCTTTTTCTCCCAGTCCATATTGTGGAACGACTACCTTGTGTATCTGGAGAGATACTCGGGTGAACATTAAGAATATGGAAATACCTTTAAGAGTTTGGAACTGGTTACGTAGCACAAAAAAAGGTATTAGAAGGGGCTCATACCAGTATGCTGTGTCCCATGCTGGACAATTTACCTAGCCCTCTTATGTTGCATTAGAGGCTCTCTGAAGCCATCCTTAGGTTCTGACAGTGTTCTGTTTAGAGTTAGCAAGAAGGTGGCAGTATACATTTTCCACTGTTTCTATTCATCTTATGCAACTCGCTGATTTACAAGTTGATAACGGTTACTGCCCATGGAACCGATGTGAGACGTAATACTGTAATGCAAAATATGTACAAACACAAGAGGGGGCTGGGATTGTTGTGGAAACTGTAGGTTTGTGTTCTGCTTTAGAATGATGCTTACTCAATTTGCAAATCTCTGTTGGGTTTCTGAACCTATGTGTAAAGCTTCACAAACAGTTCTGATATTTTTATTTTTTTTTTTTTTTACAGATTTAATAATGGTGTTACTGAAAGTGGCTCTGTCTTGCCATGTATCAGTTTTCTGGATATGCACTGTGGGTCTGCAAAGATTAGACGCCTTTCTACAGCCTCCTCTGTGACCAAACCCCCTCATTTCATTTTTACAACAGAATGGATCTGGTACTGGAAAGATGAATATGGCCTGTGGCGGGAGTATGGAAAAAAAGTAAGTGTGGAGAAACGGGGAGACTCTCAACTCTGTTAAGAGTGCAAACTACTGAAATGTGCACAATGTTTATATCTTCCCTCTTTTGTCACCCTCTCCCTCCCTCCCTCTCACTCATATTGTACAGATCGACTTTAGAGGCCTAATGGGATCTTCCCTGTGAATTTGATTGGTTCAGGTAGGGGAGTACTCACTGGTGAGTCACAAATATTAGTGACAGATACTTCTTCAGTGAGTCATGTCAGATAGGATCACATTAATACATTCTTTTCATTGCTCTTGATTGAAACTTCCTTTTCTGAGCTTCCAGTAGTACTCTGTGCTTCTTTACTAGGGTCTAGTTGGCGAATACGCGGCCTCAGTAGTAGCATTCACAGCATGCACTTTACACTCTAAGTTTAGGCTTTGTAACACTTGGTTTGTTCTGGGGGCAGTTTAAACTGCTTAGTATGTGGCTTTTTCCTGACAGCTACTATCATGCCCAAAAGCGGATATGTACTGCAGCCACCATACCATGACAGTTGTTGGGTTTTAAACTTGCTTGTATGTAACAGACCAGGAGAATCTTTTTTTTTCCTCTGGTTTTGACCTCACAGGATGATGATCATGCAGCTGCCACTATCTCCAGTGATGACCTGGAGAAAGCGTATATATACAAAGGTTCTCCAAAACTGAACTTCAAAGCTGGAAGACATGAATATGAACTCAGTTTTGGAGGTAGGTTTCATTTGCTTTGGGTTTTTTTGTTTTGCCCCTCCCTCTGTCCCAGGTCTTCTGTGGTTTTAAGCTACATTACTAGAGGAGAGAGAAATTTGAACTTTGAACTGCAGTGCTTACAAAGACAGAGCTTCTGTCAGGTTCTCAGGATAAAGAGCTGTTCATATCATCAAAGTGGCATTCCTATTCCTCCAAACCTTTTATTTTTAAGAAGTTCTTGTGCTAGGTTTCAGAATGTCTGCCAGCAAGTCCAAGTGTCACATTGCCATTGATGCTAGCACCAACACAGATGGTGAGAAACTTCTGTAAGGCTTGGGAAGACAGCTTCTGGTCTGTTTTAGTCACTGGCTTGCAGAAAAATGAATACTTGGGCAAGGTGTAGGGTCCAGATAATCCTTAGCATGGCAAGATTTATGCAGCTGTTTTCTTTCCATAGCTCTGCCTGTCTGGAAAGGCTGAGGAATTATCTTGACTATGTCAAAGTAGGAAGATGTGTTTCCCAAAGAGCTCAGGAATTTTACACCAGTTGTGATGGCATTGCTCTATCTGAGCTGTTGCCTTTCCATCCTTTTCAAAAATCATGGGAAACAGTGATGGTGGGAATCAGACTGCCTAGACTCATTTTGATACACTCATTTCGTGTAGTTGCCTTTGATCCAACTCTCCATTACTGTGTTATTCTGCATGGAAAAAAACCACCAGGCAGAAAGGACATGTGATACATTGTGATTCAATTGAAAGCAATGCTGTAATCTTCTTTATAGGCTGGGGAAACTTGTCTGGCTTAGAAGGGAAAATTGCATAGTAAATCAATCCCTTTTCTAAGGCTTGGTCTTTTTCAGTAACTTAGGCAAACATACGCAGTGTAGGTGTGTTCCAAAACTTAGTTCCTAGGCTTGGTGATGCCAAGAGGTAGGTTTCTTTTGTTTTCTTCCTGTGTATCTCTTTCTGAAGATGAGGCCTCATTCTCCTGGCTGCTACTGACTCTTAATTGCTACAGAGGTTCCAAAATTCAGAAACAATGCCTCTCAAATTCAGGTTGTTGTTACTTGTTTCTGTTGGTGGTCAACAAGAAAGAATGGCCTATGACACTATTAGGTTGTGTTTATAGGGTTTGAAATCTACAACTACCTGTAGGAAAACAGTATCTTGATTATAAATTGAGAAAGAGGGGGTGCAATCCATGGAACACAAGTAGATTTTACAATGATTCTTTACAGTTAAGTGTGGCTGATGGAAAGATGAAGGGAAAATAGTTACCAGTGTCTGTCATTCCTTCTAAAGTTAAGAGCAAAACAGAAACTGAAATCCTTCCTGGTGATTTACATAGACTGTGGGTTCCATATCGTCCTCTGACTTCCCTTTGTGTAGCAAGAAAAAAAAGCTCAGTGTCTTTTTAACAAAACAACTTAGTGGCAAGTTTTGCTGCAGTGTGAAGGCTTTCTAAAACATCTTTATGATTGTTCAGGGGTTGTTTGTTTGTTTGTTTTTTTTTCCCAGACATGATTCAGAAGAACCTTCACTACAGAACAGTGAGAGAAATTTGCAGAAGACCTAAATTTGTTTCTCAGAGAGAGGTAGAAGACTCAAGAAGAAGGTAAACTGCAACTGCTTATTCCGAGGTGATGGATTTAGTGCATTGTGAATGCAGTGTCTTCTAAGGGTGTAAGTAAGGTGAAGGAGTAGCTGTTAAGGCAAGTGTAAAAGAAATTGAGAGGGGCAGGGATATACCTTTCCTACAATAATGTCTAGCCAGGGCAGTATTGCAGCCTGGCCAACAGTTTTCAAGCAACTCAGGACCCTTGGGTGTGAAGGAAGTTTGGGCTTGGCCGCAGAAAGTTTGGAAGCATAGAAAATAATTCAACATGTAGCAGCACTGTTGTAAGGAGCTGCCTATTAGAGGGAGCTGTCTTATTAGAGCAGCTGATGCGGATGGAAGCAATAACGTTTATGCATATTAGCCCTTTCTGATATCTGAGATCAGTAATTTTCAAAGCTAAACACACATTTAGAAACAATTCTTTTGAGAACAACCAGACAATCTGAGAAGAAAGTAGTAATTGTTACAAGTGGAGAAGAAGGTGGGAGTCTGGAAGGAGAGAAGTTTTACACAATTACATGTAACAGCCAACTTTTTTAATGCATTCCCTTGCAGCGCACAGTGCTTGCTTAAACAACACAGAAAAGAGCAGCTAAACACACTAATTAAAACTGGGGTGTAAGTAGAAGGGAGGATATATCTATGCTGTTGCTGTCATACTGATATGATACTGGATGCATTTTATCTACCCTACTGTAGCAGAGCTTATATATACATTCAACTGTTGCAACTAAGAGAACTACTTCATGTTTAGTTCAGTGTACATCTTCTTTTTTCTCATGTGGTGTCTTGGTTCCTGCTATAAGTCTTGACATAATGAGTTGGAACAAATATTTTCATGTGCTGAACTCAAAAGACAATTTTGAAATATTTCTGAGATGTTCAGTTGCCTGTACTCTCCCAAACTGGTCAGAAGTGTGTAGTATCATATGTACATAAAATGTATGAATTTGTTTTGGTTTAGTTACCTATTTGTAGTGTTTTCTAATGTACAGGGCCCTTAAACATACAGAAGAGTTTAAAGGCATTCCAGCTCACTGGGACAAATCTGCCCTGCCTGAACTGGGATTCAAGGTTTGGAGATTTTTTTTTTTCCCTCTCTGTTTTGCTGCATACAGGTTTGTTACCTCAAAGTTCAGTGTTTCTCGTGCTTTTCTAGATGACTGTTTCTTATGTAATGTAATGCATAGATGTTGGTAAATTTTGAGCCTGATGCAACACTGGGGCAGACTTAGAGGTGAAATCAGACCCGAATTTAAACTAACAAATGGTGGCGGTATAACCATGGCAATATTGACTTTCACTTCTACTATTTATCCCTTTGCATGGCAAATTTGCCTGAAGCTTATGCTCTATTAGCAAGACTGTTACTGGGGCCCAAGATACATAGCTTTGAAGTTCAACATGTGCTGAAGCATCAGAGATAAATCAAGCCTCTAAATTTTAGAGTAGCCATTCCCTGAGCTGTGTATAAGTAGACTGCTGTACATCTGAGGAGTACAATCAGCAGAGTTAAGGCTGGGATCATTTATTAAAATGTACTGTAACTCCAGAGGAGTGAACTTGTTTACCTTTGTAACACACCCAGTTAATATCTGCATGGTTTACCTTTGCTGACTTCCTGCCTGCCTCCACCACCACCTCTGGCAACTCTAGTAACTATACCTACAGAAAAGATCTTCTCATATGAAGCTCAAAAATTACTAACTTGCAAAATGCAAATCCTCAAGAAATTGTCAATAAAAAGTAGAGAAGGCTAATGCTGATATTCTTGATGCTCCTGGGGAAAATGTTTAAGTAGAAAACTTTGCTTGCTTTCAGGACTGTCATGTAAGGAACTGATTTTTGGCAGTGTGTCTCTACTCTTCCCTAAAATGGTTGATTGAATAAAGCCTTTTAAATTTATTTAAAAACATAACGGGCAGTGCAGTTTTTGTTCACTAGCTGTAGGCAGTATAAACTATAAGGATTTAAAAAGCATGGGTGTAGAGGTACTGTTTGATTTGCTGCAACATAAATTCTCCATTCTTTATTTATGTGCTCATTTTTTCTATGTATTTAGGTATGATTTGATATATGCATGCAAATGTATTTTGGCCCAAATATTAAAAGGGGCTGGGTAGCTGCATGAAAGCACCCAGCTCCTTTAATGGCCTAATGGCCTGTGAGAGAGCAACCTGGGTGTCTTAAACCCCAGAAGTTAATGTTCCCTAGGTAAGAGCTAACTTCTACAGAGCAGGGATCTCTAATCTGCCTTTTTTCCAAGAGTTTTTTTGCTGCTCGTACCTCTGCTTCACAGAAAAGACTTTAAAGGTCTGAGTAGTGCACTAGGTAGGGTGGCTTTGTTATGATTTAGTAAAAGGTTGGAGTAGCTTTTTAATCTTTTCCTTACAGCTGGTTGAGCTTGACAGTTCTTCTGAAGAATACAAGAAAGTCAAGGTGGACTTTCAACGCACAATGCCCAAAACAGTTATTAAAAGGATTCGTAGAGTTCAGAACCCATCTCTCTGGGAAATATATCAATGGTACGTGTAAAATGCTGCTCTGGTATGTGTGCATGAAATTTGTTGTTTCTGTGGGTAGCTGTATGCTCAAGATAGACATATGCATTCCTGAAATGCAGCTGCATATAAGAATCTGCTTCCACTCCCCCAATGAAATACCTAGCCAGGATCAACATGTAGATAAAGACACACCAACAAACCCAAAACTCAGTCAAAACATATTACTTAGAAGTCAGATGAGCTCTGTGGGAGGAATCCTTGCTCCTGAATAAGCAGTTCTGACTTCTGCCAGGCCTGTGTCCAGGACAGCTGCTTTCCACTGAAGCCTTGAAGCTGGTAATCAGGCACAACACTGGGACAAATACTGGTTTGTAGCTGGTCAAAACTGAAAGAGTCTTCAAAACTAAATGCAAAACTCACTGAGGAAAAGCCTTGACATGAACTCCTGCGTTCAGAAAAAAAATTGTGAAGATTCCTGTCCCTCTCCCAGTAAGCAGTGAATGAAATAAAACATATTTATTATTAAATATCTGGAGGCCTCTGTGTATAACAAAAGCATGTTTGTATGCAGCTAGACAGCAAGATACCCTGTATGCCCAAAGATTAGGCCTTAATGTAAGGATTTTCAGAATGTGTGTAAAATTATCTTAAGTGCTGGTATGGCTGGAACCTGTCTGGGTACAGCTGCTGTGGAACTGCAAAGATACTGCTTCTTATTGCAGGCAGAAGGAACAAATGCAGAAGAGCAATGGTGGAAAGGCTGTGGATGAGCGATTTTTATTTCATGGGACCAGTAAAAATTACATTGATGCCATCTGTCAGCAGAACTTTGACTGGAGGATCTGTGGCCTTCATGGGACAGTCTACGGGAAAGGTGGTTTTTCAGCTCTTTCATTAACCCTAGACTTGCTAAAAAATTCTCATAGTTACTGCAGAGGTGTAAAGTTAGAGAGGGCACGCAGCCAACATAGGGCTTATCTCCGTGATGATGTGGAGAATGTAGCTGACTTTGGCAAGGATCGTTTCTAGTTAAGGCATACTGAAAGGCCTTGGCCTCTGGGCTCCAGCCTGTCCTTGCAAGACAAACTTAGGAGAGGCCAGTTCTAGGGACAGTTTCTCCTAGAGACCAGGCTTCTGTTCCAGTTTTGCCAAGCTGCTAGAAAGCAGCGTGGCATTATTTGTTTTCTTTCCAGGAATTTAAATGCCATCCTGGTTACACGCATTTTCCCTTGTTAGCGAATTATAATCCTTTATGTTGTCCTGTGCACAGGAAAGGATCAGCATACCAAGTGGAAGAGCAGAGAGACAGGCTGATTGGCTGACTACCCACCCATCCGACTGAATACTTTGTAACTCTTCAGAAATGTTCTAATGAATATTAGTAGCCTGTCAGGAGAGGAAATTGAGTGAGATTGGGGCAGTGGCCATCTAAAATTAGGAGGAAATCTTTTTGAGAAATATGGTAACATTTAATACATTCCTTGTGTGGCTTTTCAATATGTGTGCTGTGGAAAAATATAAGTATAGTAATACATAGTGGTCATTTTCACTAAGAAGGTCATACAGGACAAGTGAAGCCTTTGGAAAGGCCATTCATGAACTGCTTCATGGATTTTCTTATGAATTTGCTTTCACACTGTATCACTTCCTTCCCTGCAGTTTTGATGTCTTAGCAACTCTTTTTTGGTGTGTCTTCTACAGGAAGCTATTTTGCAAGGGATGCATCGTACTCTGACAATTACTGCAGGGAAAACTCAAATTCCAAGACCATGTTTCTGGCTCGGGTCCTGGTGGGAGAGTTCACTCTTGGTAGTTCTTCTTATGTTCGGCCTCCCTTGAAGGACAATCAGAAGTTCTATGACAGTTGTGTGGATAACTCTTCAAACCCTTCTATCTTTGTCATCTTTGAGAGGCATCAGATTTATCCAGAGTATCTCATAGAATACACTGACCAGGCATTGGCAAAAATGCTATAGCACCAGTGCCTGACATCATTATGTTTAGGTGGTATAAATGTTTTTTTTAGTATTTGCTTAAGAAAGAAAAAGTGATGTTTAGAAGTTGTGTAATTGAGTAGGTGAATGTTCATAAACATTTATTCTCTATACTTTCTGTGCAATAGAAAAAGAAGGGTAAAAAGACACAAATGATGTCTTGGGATTCTTAAAATCCTGTCCCTGTCCCTGTCTCCTATTCTTCATGTTTCCTTGCATTACTAGAGACTTCTATAAATTCAGTAGGTGAGTTCACTGGTGGTTGTAACATGAAGATTGGCTATGACTGCCAAGTTTAAACAATATTTAGTTATAATTATGTTTCAGGATCTTTACACATGCTTATTGATCAGAGGATGTTTCCTCCTACCTGTTAATGTTTTAACTCAAAACTTGCTTTTTTCAATAATGTCTCTTGTAATAATAGACATTCAGGTGTTTGCAAATGAGACTGTCTCGGTGTTCAACTCACTGCATAAATTCTGAACAGCATTGATTTTTTTTGTCCCTATTCAATCTTCACCAACAAAGCCTCAAAAATTAAACTTGCTTGTTGAAAAGGAACAGAGGCTTATTTTCACTTGTTAGTTTTCTCCTTTGAAACAAGTACCAAAGACATGAAGCATAGCAAGGGTTGCTTGTGCCGTGCTACTCAGTTGACTTACTGTATCAAATAAATGCTGTATTTTAGGTGTGTGAGAAGACAAATTTTTCATGACTTTGTGCCTACAAGTGAGGAAGTGGTGTCAGGTGCCAGGGGGAAAGAAGCAGAGGCAACTCACCCTGTCATTTAAGAATATCCTACTTAGGAGTGAAAGACACTGTTTGCACTGCTTGATTAGCAATACCCTGTTTCTGTGGAACAACTTTATGGTTCTGTTACAGCTGTTGGGAAGGACAGTGAGGGACTGTCTCTCACTAGGTGTACTGCCCGTTTGGTTGCAGGAGATAAACTGGTTACCTGTGTAATCAAAGGTGGCTTTGGACTTTCTTCCAGGGAAAAACATGCTTACCTGGGGTGTCATCTTCAGCAACAGAGCTGAGACCTTTACAAATCTGAAGATTAAGCTGGATATTTAATTGTTTCCAGGCAAAAGATGTTATTAGTGTTGAGCAGTCAGCATACGTGTATGCAGATAATTAAAAAAACTTGAACTGTTAAGTATTTCTTAAGACTAAAGTTGCTGATGCATAGACAGATACTTTATCACAGCTTTAATGCTTCTAAATGAGTACCTGTTAGCTATAGTGTACTACAAAAGCCTTAAGATATACTTTGTTTAGGACCAAAAAAAGTTCATGTCTACCTGTATTGTAGAAGCACTTGTTTTTAATTCATCTGGATGATGAGTGATAGGTGTATACTGGGTAACTTCATTACTTCAGCACTGTGAACCAGAAGCTTAGCCATGTTTAGCTGGAGTAAGGCTGTGCAGAACTCCTTTTTATGTAAAACTAGCAGCACGATACCTAAAGGAAAATAACTCCTATTCGTGTTTAAACCCAGTAAAACACAGGATGTGGAAAAGCAAGTATTCTTTCTTTTGAAAGATTTGTAATAGGACATGCATAATAAATCTCATGTCAGCAAATGAGCTTGGCAGCAAATACCACATTAATTGAGGATAACGTTATGTATGTAAGTTTTCATACCTGTGCAGAATAAGATATTTCTGTCAAAACAAGAAAAAAAAATGCATTCATCTACACATTCGTGGCAAAGGAGAACAGTGGTAGTATGCCCTTCCTCTGAAGATAATCAGCATTTCAGCTAAGAACTGGAATAGCTAAAATCATGTTAATCTTTTGCCAGAAAATTGAAAAAAAAAAAATTTTCATGCAAAAAGTTGAGATATTTTTGGTAACACTTTTGATAGTAGTATTTTTTAAAACTTTAACTTAATTCTTGGAGGGTGTGTGTGAATGTGTATGTGTGTAAGTAAAAGAACTGGAATAAAATGGCTGGTTGTGTTACTGTCATCTGTTATTTCTCTGTTAATGCAAAAAAAAAAAAAAAAATTCCACTTTTGAAACTGCAGTGGTAACTTTCTCATGTGTAGTAAATAAACAGGTATTCAAACCACTATATTCCTTGTAATGTTTTTCTTCTCTCTCAGTAGTAGAAGCACCATGTTTCACTAAATTTCTGAGTTCTTGGAAACTTCCTTAAAGATGCTGCTGTTAAGTAGTGGAATGCCTCTACAGCTTGTTTGGATTGCATTTGGAAATAGATAAAAACTAAACTTCAGACAAAAATTTATACTGAGCCTCTTTTCTGAGTGAGGGTATCTCTTGGCTACTTCAGACACTGCGCAGGAACAGCGTAATAATCTCTCACTCCGACACCACGTGAGGAGAAAGATAAGTGAGGATTGTTTCCTTTTTTGATAGCAGGTCCATCGTGGCAAGACAGATGGCAAACCAGCAGAAGCCAAACCACTTTGCTATGCTGGTAGTGCAGTCTGGAGTGTGGTAGCTTATCAACTGCTGTCCCCCCCTACCCGCTGGGCTGGGTGAGGGTCTGGCTGCCAGCAGAAGACACACACCATTTAGTGGATGTTACCTGTGATCAGGTTCATCGTGATATCTGCCTGGATTTCATAAGATGTGGGTGTCAAATCTGTCTGTAAGTGGCGGCAGGAGTGGAGTGGCAGTACACTACCCGGCTGGGATACCTGCAGCCAGGCAGGGTAGGAGTGGTGGATTAGAGGAATTTAGGTGGATGGCACATACCAGCTATGGTAGTGTGCTTGGTGCTGCTTGGCTTGGAGAAGACCTTCACTTTGCTGCTTATAAACTATTGCTCAGAGCTGCCTTTAAGCCAAAAGGCAAGTGGGAGTTGCAGAAAAGCTGCTTGACTAGGAGGCCTTCCAGCACAAAATGCAGGAGGGATGGCTGTTACATGGCCCGGTTACTGGTGCTTACCTGTTTTAGCAGGGGATAGGCTTCACGGGCCTGACTAGCCCTTGCACTTCTTGTTTTGTGTCTGGTCACAAATTCATGTCTATTTGAAAAAAATCCTAGCAACTGAGGGAATCTTGCTCCCTCCTTGAAAGTAACCATAGCACCCAGCAGTGCAGTGAGCAAACTTTTTACACACTGATCAGACTTTTCACAGAAGAAATAGAGCAGGGCCAGTGCAAAACCAAGCAATGAAATAAACAATTTATAAGTCAGCTTTAAATTCTTTTGGCATGTTTACTACTGTAAATGCACAGAAGAATCTGATGCTACATGAAGTTGTGTCCAAGATGGAAACATCATTTAACACAGGGAAATGAGAAGGTGGTCCTTTAGGAAAGTATCACATGGAGAGAGAAAATTCTGCAGTTTAATGCCAGGTAAGAATAGATAGTTCAAATTTGCAACCAATGAAGGAGAATAATTTCCAACACTCAGCTCCATTTTTCCAGGAATAATATTTATAAAGGTACAAAATTGTAAAGGTTTTCTATATCAGCACTCTCATTAAAAATATAATTTTATATTGGCACCTTTCTGTAATCATTGCAAAGTCCCAGAAGATGTTTTGAATAGAAGCTTTCCTCTACCAAGCAGCCTTTGCTTCGTATCAGCTGTCAGAGAATGACTAAGACCTTTTTGTAAAAGACATGCCCAATTTTAAACAAACCCACAGCTCAGCAATGCAAGACAACACACTTACTGTTTCTGAGGAGAGAAATTATTTTAAATCAGCTTCCTTGCTCCTCCCTAGACTCAACTGCTGTTGACTGAAGCGTGTCGTACCAGAAATGCTGTCACCATAACGTCAGGATATAATGTTATGTTTTGGTATTACAACTATAAATATAATGCTTCTTTTCTTTGTAGGTTTTGGGGTTTTTTTATGGATCCTTAAGCCAACTTTGCTCAGATCAGTTCAGGACCATGTTATATGGGTGCACAAACACACCATGATTAACATGGTATTACCAGTTTCTGTTTTGGAGAGCTGCTGTCAGTCTCATGTTTGGTTTTTGCAAATGTGTGCTTCCAGGGGCCACAGCAGTGCTGGTTCGACACAGCTCTCTCTTTAGGTATGCTGCTGAGCCCACACAGCCAGGGCGAGGGCTAGCATCACTAAGTATCCTGGTAAAATGTCTGTGCAGTGTCTGGTGACTATCAGCAGCTGTTGTTTAAAAGGAAGAAATGGCTTGGGGCTCTGCCTATATTATTGGAAAGTTGGCAGCGTTTTCTCCATCTTACTCCTCTATCTGTCTCGCTAGGCCTGCAAGTAGAACAAGGGATGATACACTTCCAGAAATCTGACTTGGTCTCCAGCTGCAAAAAATGCTTCTATTTCATACCACTATAAACTGACAAGCAAAACCAGATAATACTTCTGAACCAGAAAACTTTGCAGGATGGTTGAAAAAAACAGCGCAGAGTCAAGTGAGTTTATTTGCACTCATACTGTCCACGTTCAACTCAGAAGCAGCTGGGAAAGATTTTTGGTGCAGTTTCCAAGCCTGTAAAATGTGATGCATAGTTGCAGCCACTGCAGTACTGTCTTTCTTCCAGTGGAGTCAAGTTTATAATGCTCTGTTCAGGCACAGAAATATGAGTTGTTCACCTGTTCTACACATTAGTGGCACTTTGTTGGATAAACACTGAGGATATAAACAGACAAGCTATAGAACAGTCCATACAAAAGCATATGGAAGAAGTGCACAAGCTTGATTTAGGCTTGAAGTATTTGGTCAAAAATGAAGCACACAGCAACCTGCTAAATCACATAAGGAATCAAAATAGAAAAAAAAAAAAAAAAAGGGTTAAACAAGCCTCTGATAGCTGACTTCTTTGGACTGGAATGAACTTCCTGCTCATTCAGGTAGCTGAGAAGTTTTTAGGCATGGCTCAGCCAACTTTTTCCCAGTTGTATGTATAAGCTGCCAGGACATTATTTTCAAGAAGGAAAAATGATGGATAACGTGTAGAAACTAGGGTATATACAGTGTGTTGCTGTTCAAATAAATAACAATCACTTCATCAGTAATTCATATAATCAGTGTGTCTGTAACAAGGGACTTCGGTTTAGCATGCCAGAGATGCTCCATGGAAATAGGACCAATTCCAAGACTGCCAGGTCAGTACTTCAGCACTACTACCCGTACAGTTCTGGTTTTTTTTAAAAAAAAAAATTCCCATGAAAGAGAAAGACAAAATCTTCCATGAGCAGGATACAGTAAGTTGATCAGTGTTAAGGCAGCATGTGGGAAGAAGGCAGCAAAAGGTGCTTGCTGGAGAGAAACTAGGTAACTAGCTAGGGATCAGTGAGCAGATGGCTCCTTGCAGCAAGCCTTGCAGTGAAGCTGAGCAGTCAGTCTCTTCCTCCTGCTGCCATGACGCTTCTCTGTACATACCACCAAGAGAGATGCTGTACCTAAGAAAACCTCGAGCAGAGAATGTCAGCAGGCAGAAGGTCAACACTTGCAAAGAACCAAAAGGTGCTTCCTTATTTTTATGGTGCCATAAGAATTTTTGCTATTTATAAAAACTTTAAAAAAAAAGAAAAAAAAGACCAAGAGACTGAGATCATCTCCTCTTGTGCTTTTGCTGTGCAGCCAACCAGCTTGTGGTGCCCACTGAAAGAAATGGGGTTTTTTTTCTGGTCAACTGATCACTGCTTTGCCATGCTCCACTAGCTATGTGGTGACTGAAGGGCTGAAGAGTAGGAAAGAGCATGGAGGGAATGCGAATAGTGGAAGCGTACTGCTGCTTGGGCTGTGAAGATGCATGTGCACATACAGCTTGAACAGATCCATGGTGCTGCTGCAGCTGGCAATCAGACAAGTTTCTTCCTAAGTGGAGTTAGTCACTTGGGACATGACCTGCTCCAGGATCACATAAGGAATCAAGAGAGCTGCTGGGACTGATGATCCTGAAACCCACTCCCTTGCCATGCAGCACTCTTTATTTCCTTGAGTCAATGAGCTAGACAAGGATCTTGCCACATGCAATGCCTGGAAAGGTAAGACCTCAGCATGAAGCAGAAGTTGTACCTACACCTTCTGATTACCCTTACATTTCCTCCAGTCCTCCTGCTTTTTTTTTAAATTTGTATCTTCTTTTTCTCCACCTTTCCAACAACAGTTCAGTAGCCAGCAAAATGACTGTCACCTCATTTCTTTGAGTCTTAGCTCCTGGAACTTAACTGGCAAGCAGTGAAACTCTTCATTCGCCTTCAGTCGTGTCGATGCAATGTGCCAAGTGCAAACTGTTAATCTAAGTGTACTTCTAATCGCTTCAAAAGCATGAAGAAGGTGCAACTCCTTCCACTGTACAGACACAGGGAGAGATTAAGCATTGTGCAGCAGACTTGGCTTTGATTTTTAGCAGAGCTCATGATAAAATCCAATGCACTGGATCGCAGGTCTTCTGCTATAACTGTGGTGCCTCTTGGGCTTCTGCTAGAGTAGGGACTTCTAAGTGCATGAGAAGGATGTGTGAGATAATGAATTGTAATTAAAATCTACTGTAAATCGCATGTATGCTTAACACCTGCTCCATTTATTGAACTTGAGCATGAAGAAAGCATTCTCAAAATGAGTGAAAGGAAGTGTAATGTAGAAAAGCAAGTGAAAGTGGGATGCTTCTTTACAGGTACTATTCACAGCAATTTGAAAACCACCAAAAACACTGTGGAGCCCACACCTCATTTAAAAAAGTTGACGGGAGGCTCTCCCACAGGAAGGCAGTGAGGCAGCACCTACTGACTGTCAGTGGGACTTTAGGCTCCTACCTGTCTTTGGGGTTCTGAAAAATAATTACACCCAGTGAGTCACTGAACAAGGGGTCTCATCCCAGGAGGCTTCAGGATGTACATTTCCTTTTAGCGAGATTCTAACATAATGTAAACTCCATTTTTTGGTCCGAGTGTGGCTTTTGATTTCAGCTGCAAAGGAATCTGAAAGAAAAAAAAGAGCACCTTATGCACAGTTGTACATATTTGTTTATGTGTGTATAACACCCCCACATACAGACAGACATTTTTGCTGGGGGACCAATTCATATAGGATTACTGTAGAAGCTGTAAAGTACTTGTTTTACAGTCAGCTGTGGTAGTATAGTATTAAATAGAATTTACAGCCAGAGGCTGAGGCAGTGGTTGCCCAGGTACACTGCTGATCTGAACAGAAGGAAATTAACTCTGTAAACTCCAGAGCCACTGAGTAAGTGCCAGGTGCAATGTATATAGCAACAGTCATATACTAATGTGTCGAGAGCCCATGAAATATGTACACCCATTCTCACCCTGTATAAATCAAGGTATTTTGACTGTGGTGTTTCTACACTGCTCTCCATTAAGGCAGGTCTGTGTAACTTTTTGTTGTCTTGGAAAAATCATAAAGGTTAAATCACATTTTGATTAAAACTTGTAGTCCAGGCCTCTTGTCCCTCCTTATTATGAAAGGGACTCTAGGAGTTTTCTCAAACAAAGAGAAAGTCACAAATGCAAGTCAGTCATCCTGTCTAGAACACACTGTCAACTCCCTGAAGTTGACAAGTGTAGCCTCTAACCCTCTGCATGTACAAACCTCAGTCTCTGGGCAGGTCTTAAATTGAAACTTCTGCAGAATCCTCAGCAGAGTAATTTTTGTCTCCAGCAAACCCATTTTCATGCCAATGCAGCCACGTGGTCCTGCTCCAAAGGGCAGGTATGCAAAGGGATGTCGTTCCTTCTTGGCCTCCTCTGTAAACCTAGAAGGTGCAGAAATGGAAACTGGTTCAAGAAATACTTTTTGCTCCTGATTGCATGGTTTTCATTTACATCTCAAAAGGTGGTTATTTCAACTGGTCCTAATGGATGGGTCAAGGGGACTATTGACAGATTATGTCCTGATAGGGCTGACACCCTTAGAGTAAACAGATAATTGTTTTACGGCCATCAGCCTTTGTCAGCTGGTGATTCCAGGAGAGGACAGACAGACATTAGTATTACTTCCAATCTTTCTTTAATGAATTACCTTCATTTGATGACCATGCTCAGAAGAATGATAACTTCAGGTGCAGATGTGCTAGCTGTGTAGACATTTGCATGTATGAGGGAGAGATTACAGCTAAGAGGCAACAAGGCAACAGCGCTTCCTTGCTGTGTGCTGCAGATGCAGATCAACGGGAATTTCTCTTTGAAGCTTTCAAGGGGAGCTGAAATCTTAAGGGATTGGACAGGCCACGGAAGGCAGTTATTACAATTCAGTACAGACCTTCTGTCTGCTCTTGGCCCAAAGAGACCAGGTTCCCAGTCGGGAAACATTGAAATTGCAGACAGTTCTGTTCTTAGAGCTGAAGTACCAATTGAAAAGACTGATTAATGTGGCAGTCTGAATGCAGATCTGCATTAACTAGCTGGCTTTAAAATACTTGATCAACCCATAGAAATTAGTATCTTTTTTTCTTTTCTTTCCTCCCCACAAAATTCCTATTTGAACAGCAGTCCGAAGGAAAAAAATGAAATCTGCTTGCCAACATGTGCTGGTTTTGGCTGGGGTAGAGTTAATTTTCTTCATAATAGCTAGTATGTGGCTAAGTTCTGGATTTGTGCTGAAAACAGTGTTAATAATACAGGGATATTTTCATTACTGCTGAGTAGTGCTTACACAGAGTCAAGGGCTTTTCTGCTCCTCACACCACCCCACCAGTGAGAAGGCTGGGGGTGCACAAGGAGTTGGGAGGGAACACAGCTGGGACAGCTGACCCCAACTGACCCCAGGGATATTCCATACCACATGAGGTCATGCTCAGCATATAAAGCTGGGGAAGAAGATAGAAGGGGAGGACATTTAGAGTGATGATGTTTGTCTTCCCAAGTAATCATTAGTGCGTGATAGAGCTCTGCTTTCCTGGAGATGGCTGAACTGATGGCCTGCTGATGGGAAGTGGTGAATGAATTCCTCAGTTTGCTTTGCGTGCGCACACAGCTTTTGCTTTACTTATTAAACTGCCTTTATCTCAACCCATGAGTTTTCTCACTTTTACCCTTCCGATTCTCTTCCCCATCTCACCAGGAGGGAGCGAGTGAGCAGCTGTGAGGTGCTTAGCTGCCAGCTGGGGTTAAACCATGACACAACAACTGCAAAGATGGATGTATAGCAGACAGAATATGTACAGACAAGAGTACAGCATCTGAGTCAGTACAAGTTATTAGGGCAAATGCATAATCAACAAGGTGAGGCTCATTCTGGCCTGTGCTGAGTCACTCATTGATGAGAGTGGTTCTTTAAAACAAGCAAACCTTTACAGTGATAGCATTACCCTGGAAATCTACATAGTCCTCCCATGTCATAAGGTATTTGGAGCTGTTCTGGTAGTACAAAATTACTTTTCCAGTTCTGTATGTGGATAAAGGCTCTGTCCTTCATGTATAGGGTCATCCCTGAAAACCTCTCATCTGTTTGGATACAGTTTGCAAGAACTTTAGACTGCTACAGCCCAGAGGACTCATGCAGGGTAGAAGGAGATGAGAGGTAATACAGTCTATTCTGAGGTTTAAAAAAAAAAAAAAAATTGTGTGTTTCCACTAGCCCCATCCCCATGCTTAGATATCCTAAATAAGATTGGGATACTACTGCAGAAAGCACTGTACAAACCCATAATTTGAGACTGAAGGACCATTAACTCATGTACTGAACACTGTTGCATATCCCATGCAAACAGGTTAAGCAATTCTTGCCTTGTTCACCTCCATATATCATTCTGCTAAATTTAAAGTCCCCCTTGTATTATTCCTGAGGCAGAGCTCAAAGTGAAATATTAGGGGAAAAAAAGACTGTAGCTGAATTTATTTTTTATTAAGCTCTTATTTTATAATTCCTACTAACATTACCAACTTCTACAAGTTGGGGAGAATTATGCTTCATTCCTCAGGGAAATTTCAAAAGGGAATTTATCTCAGACTCATAATAAACAGCACCATATGAGTCAAGGGGACTGCAGCCCCCACTATCTGTTTTACCCTGTAATGCACTTTTATGCTACTGTTAAAGTGGTGAATAAACAATTAAGACAGCATTTGTAGATAAGTGTTGCTAAAGAAAACCCCCAGACTTCCAGTTATTGCTAAAATTCCTCCCCAACAAAAGCTCTGGGCTTCTGTAACCCTGGCACTGCTCTTCCTCATGGCCTAAAGTGCCTGATAGAGCATATGCCAAGATTTGTTCCAGAAGGAGCACTGGGCAAATCCACCTACACCATACATGTGTTGTTTTACTGGCAAAGATGGTTCTGGGCTGCCTGCCCCACCACATCCAGTTGTTTGGGGAGCATGCACTTTTTTTCTTAGTAGACTTTTCAACATAGTGGTAGCTTAAAATGCAACTATCCACAGAACAGCTTAAAACATACCTGCCCACAAAACTAAATTGTGCTTCCCCACAGCACCACATCAGCTGAAACTTTCCCTGTAAGCTCAACTCAGCATCTGTAAGGTAGGGCAGGGTACAAACCCACAACTTGACAGTGCCCCCACAGTTGAAGAGAATAAATGCTCAATGTGAAAGTATGTCTTGCCAAGCAGAGCTAAGAACCCAGGGTCCTAACTTACGGACAGAGCGCAAATTCCCAGTGGGAGATGGGATAGGTTCCCCACTCAGAGTACCCGCACCATAACAAGATTTCAGGTGGAAAGGCTGCTCTAAACCAGCCAAGAGCTGGATGAGTTTCCTGGGTACCTCCATGCCAGTGAATAGACTATCTCACTTCAGTATTTCTGCATTCAGAGGTGCAACAGTATTTGCTGGATCTGGTTGGGTCTGAAAACCTGCACCACATTTCAACCTTGACCAAACCTCACACCCTCTGTGGGATATGCCACTATCACCACTTGTCTAATTTGGTAGAAGTAACATATTTTTATGATCTAAATTAAACTGTGCTTCTCTTGTCAGAAATGCTGCTTTGGGTGAATAGAGGCTGACTGTGGCTACGAAAGAGCAGCAGGATCTGGTGTCTCCCCTGGACAGGCTGAAGTGCCCAACCGAGCGCATGAAACAGCATTTAAGGCAGGCCTTTGATCTAAACAGGCCCAAATAATGACTTCAACCTAAGAATGGAAAGCATTACTCCACGCACCTCTCAGGCATGAACTTCTCAGGCTCTGGCCAGAACTCAGGGTTGTGGTGGAGATGTCCAACTGCCGTTTCAATGACAGCCCCCGCTGGAATACGCTGCCCCAGCACTATGCAGTCTTCAGCTGCTTCCCGTGTGAACCTGCAACAGAAAGTGTCATGTATCCCAGATGATTAATAAAGGTAAAAACATAGAAGGAGGGAACCATAAAAGTCGATCTCTTCAGCTGGACTGACCCTGCAATTTTGGGAGTAACACTTTCCCAGTAGATAAATACAGCAACCGTTGCTGATGCTAGTGTCTTCTCAGGTTACAACCATCTTCACCTAGAAGCACACAGCTCCAACCCAGCTGTCTAACTTCTGCCCTTTTCACAGTAAAGCATTTCTGGTTGCTTACAGTTTTCCAAAACATTAACTGCAATTTTGCTGCTAACATTGGCTATAGACTAATTTTTAATGAAACCTGCAGATTAAATGCATCAGTCATCTCTAATAACAGTCAGAAAGAGCATGTTGGTTTGCTTTCAGGAAAAAATTATATCAAATACAGTTTTGAGTTTGTTTACTTGAGACGCTCCCTCACGTAGGGACAGCACCTGAAACTTAGCAAGGGATGATTTTAATATTAGGGGTAAGTGTTCTGCTGCTGCTACAAAAATACAACCAATTCACAAGTGCATTTCACATACATTCATCAAAGATAGGCGTGACGTTAGCAACAAAACTCTCCAGTTTCCTCCCACCCTGTGGTGACAGGTGACAGAGCAGGACTGTCCTTAGGGACCTCATCGTGACAAGAAGGCTGAGAAAAGCCACCTGTCAGAGCTGAGCTTGGGTCTGTAAACCTTGTTAAAAAATGATGTGTGGGTGTGCATGTGTGGTGGCAGATCCTGATCTAGATCTTTTGGTGCCTGGGTGGTTGCTACAGACCCCAGCCCAGCCCAGCCCCAGGCAGGTGCCCTGCTATCGCAGCCCAGGAGCTATTCCCCAGCACCAACTGGGATCACAGGGCAAGACAATGTGCAGGAGCTCCCTTTGCTGCTCCCTGTGCTGTGCCTAAAATGTTGAACAAAGATTTCAGTTTCAGGGCTGTCAGTCTGGTATCATTACAGAAACACTTTCTTTCATCGCTGTCACCCATCTCTCTCTTTCTCACAGGCAAATAAACAACAGAGGCTCCAAACCTGGAACAAAACACTGGCACGCTAAAAAACATATTGACAAGCCATTCTTCTCATACTTACATGAATTTGGTGATAGTGGAAACATGAGTTCTGGGAAAGAAAGTTCTCTGACTAGTAAGTTCATTTTAAAAAGAAAAAACCCAACTCATTTTATAACAAGCTTGGCTGTTACTGAATTTTCCCCTAACTCAGCATTATCCTAGTCACAGGCAACCAGCATCTTTCCGAGGCACTGGGCTGTCCTATACATTCCACATCCATCAGAGTAAAAGCCAGATCAATGAACACCACCGTCGATGCCAACTAAAACTTCAGAACAACTTTGCTCCACTGTCGTTCTATGTCCCATCTGACAAACATTGATTGTTTCCCAGTGTTTCAACTGAAAGTCAAAGATCCCTGATGCTTTAACCGGCAAAACAATTTCCACTTGTATACCATGTATAACATAGTAAAGACCAGTCATCTCATCCAAGAGCAAATACCTTTGACATTTACTCTCTGAACAATCCTGCAGATGTTCATGGAAAAATCTTGACTTCTGATCTTTGTGAACACATAAAAGAGGACATGATTTTAAGCTTTTTTATTTGAAGGTGCTCACAGTCATGGGGTAAATTTTTCAAAGGCTCTCACAGCAAGCTCATTCTTTGGTTCCTTTCCAGTCGTCTGAATTTTTCCCCTGGCTTCACAAGCAGCAGTGCAACTGGCTGACCACTTAATATTCTTAACATTTGCATTTATGCTTGTGATAACTTGAAAATTTGACAATCAAACAGCTTTCTAATTTCTTTCCTCCTTGTTTTCAGTTCATCGGTATAACTTAGTAAATTAGTCTTGTGTGAATTGGGGCAGAACTTTCAAAATTTAATGGATGTAGCCATTAGCTTAGCTATATTAATATAACACCATAATAAGTGCAAAACAGGAGGGATCCAAGTTAAACACACATATAAAATACAGCTTTCTGAATGTGCAACCCTTCCACAGATCAGGGCCTTAATGACCAACAGGCTACGGTAGGTCTTTGCTCTGTATCACCAAAGCCCAAGGAATATGGAAGCAGAAGCATCTGGCTTTCTAAGGCCCGTCCTGCTGCAAAAGGCTCCATCCTCCAACTTTGGGGGATGTGAAGAACAGCGAGGAAGCAATCTTGGCCAAACTGTTGTAAAAAACTGCTTTAGAAATACCAGTATTAGCCAGTTTTCCTTCAACAGGCCACATTATTTCTTTCAAATGCACAAGCAGTATTGATGTTGGCACAGAGACCAAGGGCACACTGGTGTTCCAACAGCAGATTTCCATTTTATAAAGCTAGGGTCTACTCTGTGGAATGAGAAAGGGGCGGGGGGGGAAGATACCTGAATGCAGGTGGATACATGCGCAATGTCTCTGCAATCACCATCTCCAGATAAGGGAGTTCTTGTACATTTTGGTAATCAGGGACCATCTGAAAAGCAGGAAGAAAGGAACAATTACATTTTCTCACATTTAAGTGCCAAACTCATCTCAGATTAGCTTTTAAATCATCTATTTTTTACTGGGCATTTTTCCTGTAGAAGAACTCCATGTCTCATCTAAAACAGTAAATGATAAAATTATACAAAAATGTGGGCAGTAATTAAATGTGTGTATAACATTCCTTTCACCATCAAAACGCTTTGGTGCGCAGCCCAGCTGAAGATATAATAATAAATCAACTTGCTAGGAAGTATTAAAAACAGGGCATTACAGAGAGCATTAATAGCTACAACAGAGCTATTGTTTTCTACATTCCCTAAAATCTGCACAGGACCCTTGTATCTTCCCAAAGAAAAGAGCATGGCAGACCAGGAGCACTTTGTCCACAAGGAACAGAAAGTTCTTCAGTTACTCTTGCTGATGTTGGAGCAAACCCTTTCCTCCTTCCCAGTTATAGAAATAAAACAAAGTGCTAGTGCTGTGTCGCCTGCAGAGGGGTGGGAGATGGCACTGGCAGAAACCGGCAGCCTGGTGAGGAATGGCACGCCAGAGTGAATTGCTCTGCCGAGTAGAGGGGGCTGAGGTACAGCTCAAATCTCACCTGGCAGGAGTGTGATAGTGCCTGGGCAGAGAAGCCTGTTTCCTCCCCTGGCCACTCCTTGCGTAATGCTGCTTAATTTTGCATGGTGGGCAATGCCTGAGCCCGCAGTCTGCAAAACCACCCGGCCCTTGACAACGACTGGTGAGCACTAAAACCCAAACAAGGCTGGAGCTCAGAAGACTTTGCCCTCTGACGGGCAGCAAACAGACAGGGAGAGACACCAAACCGCGGACGACCACCAGCAGCAGTGACACAACTGAGCGCAAGAACGAACAGAGAATTTTTCCCCCTATTACCTTCCTCGGAAAAAGGGCATTTCCCTGTCTTATTCAGTGCTCTCAGCAGAGGGCAGCCAAAGTACATCTAATAACCCCATCTGGAAAGCAGAGTTTTGTTTTAAATTAGAGCATCTCCTGAAGACTGACACAGAGTAAACTGGAGAAAAGCACCGACGTCAGACTAGACTAAACCTTTTATGAAGATTTGGGGCCCCTGCCGTTCACAAAGGGGACTGGATTCCATCCTTCCTTTATTTACTACAGCACTTTTCATGTATAATGCATATTTTATTGAATTTTCATGCAAAAACATATGGTACATACTGAAAATACTAAGCAGAGAACAACTCCAGATGGTATGCAGAAAAGGCGTACAATAGAATGAGGACACCTTGCTGGATTAGGGTATCCCACTTATTCAGCACTAAGCCACCATGCACCATTTCACATTAACCGATCTTTTCTAGGAAGGAAATAGATACATTCTATTATTCCCATTTTTTGGCTCAGGAAAGAAAAGCAAACCCAGAAAAAAAGTAATTTGTACAGGCTGAGCAGAACCAGTGTGTCTGCTCCTCTATTAGGGAAAAAGATGCAACTCAGCTTGTCAATAGATGAAGCATTTTGTCAGTATATGTCGAATATTACCAATACAGGAAGTATAGACTGCACTGACAGCCTTTCAATGTTGCTTTTATATTGCAGTAGTGCCTACTAACTGAAACCTTTGGCTTAGGTCGATGGTTATCAGACAAAGGACCAGGAGACTAAAAGCCACAAATGGCCGCAGTGTCACAAGAACCATGGTGTGAAGAGCTGAGCTCCAATAATTTGAATAGCTAAAACCAAAGACAGGAGGATGATTTTTATTGTCCTTATTTTTCAGAAAGGGATCCGAGGGCTACTTGATTTTGCATGGGAAATCAGTAGCAGAGGCTGGAAATGAACTCTGATCAGACTCAAATTTCAGGTCTTTGTGGCAAAACTACCCTTCTCCATGACCACAGAGGTGGTCCACTCTGATGCAAATGCATGCTGTGCTGGGTATTCTTTTTTTTTTTTTTCCCCCCTAATTTTACATCTCGCTTTCACAACTTTCCTCTGTCCTTTTTATACTGATCTGCATCTCTGCATCCTGAGTCCTGTCCCTGCAATCCCTCCTGATTTCATGGCCAGGGTGACTGAGGGAAGAGTTCAGGCTCAGAGTAAATGAGTGGTGGAGTCAAGAGCACACTGTGATGTGTTCGATTCTCTGAGCCATGCTCTTTCAACTGGGCCTTCCTGTCTCTCTCATAATCCCTCTACATACTTCTGGAGTCAATAATTAAGATAATTATATGGTAACCCGATATAATAAGTAGCCACTAAATCAAACCATACATCAACAAATAATATAACGCTAAATTATGGGAGCTTTGATTTGCTCTTTCGAATAACTTCTATACCTTCGGGGGATTAGCAGTTCAGAAAACAAAGCAAAGGTGCAAAACCAGCTGATTTTCCTTAGAAGAAAATTCCTTTTGCTTACATAAAGAAAAAGGGGTCGGTCAAATGGCAGCACAGTGAACTCTGCTATCGTGAGCATGGCAGACACATCAGTCATTTCCTACATCTGATGCAACTTAATTATTTGCACTTCCATGCTTTTAGCATCAAAGTAGCTGCACCTAATTTAGTAGTTGTTTGCAAGGTCTGACCTATGGCTGTGTGAAGTACACACCAGCCAAGTATCTCTATTTAGGAAGGACAGTTTGTGCCTTTTTTTTTTCCCTTTCAAAGAAAATATTTTCCATTTGTTTTTCCACTCCCTCTCTTCAAAATATTCCTTTAGCCAAGCACATTTCAAAGGAATTTAAATATGCTTTTCTCCCTAAATGTCCCTATTTATATCTTTCAACTGCTGGCAGGTTTTCTGGGGTGGGGGGTGGCATTGTGCAAAGATGCCATTTTAACCCCCTGCAAATAAAAAGTCTACATTGCCTCTTACTCAAGATTAGGTGTTTTCTCATTAAGAAAGAGATGCCTTTCTGTAAAAAGAGATGTGGGGGTAGAAAGGAGGTACCATGTCACATGTAATAAAACATCCTATATTTTAATTTTGCGGCCACTGCTTTGCACAGCAGTCTGTCTTATGCTTTGCACAGTTTGTAGTGTCTTTTCTTGTTGATGTGGAAGTGAAATGGCCACATAACAACTTGTGGCCTTTCTCTGCATGCAGGTTTCCCCCGTTTGATTTCTGGAGGTGTGGTGGTACACCCTCACCCATCCCAGACGATTCAAGCACTTCTGAGGTCCATAAAGCATCCAGCTTGGCCACAAACTCTCCTTTATAACTGACAGCAAACCCCAGGCCTCTATTCCTCAGAAAAAGGTGGGAAATTAACTCTTCACCCCACAGAGTTCTCTGAGGTGAAATACCAGCAGTGATTATAAAATTGTCTATGTGCTACCAGGATGATCTATGTTTTAAGCCACATATAAATTCCAAGAGAGATAACTGCCTTCAGATCCACCTCTGCTTTTCAGTATCGGCTTTAGCATTTCCTAGGCAGGCAAACCTATTTTTTGCCACCACCCTCAGTTAACTTTTAATTCTTCAATGAACACCAAGGGAATCCAAGTGCTGACAGGAGAGGTCTGGCCAATCTTTCTGCTGCAGTTTGAGATGTTACTGTTCCCAGTTGCTCACTCCTCTTTGCTGGCTGTGGTTAGCGTCACCACAGCCAAGTCAGCAGAAGGGAACATATGCCTGCACCTCAGTTGCTTCCATACAACGTCCAGCATGAACCCATCTTCAACGACAGTTTAAGACAAGATACTAACTTTTCCCCAAAGTAGCTGATGACGGAGGCACAGATCCTTCTCTACTACCTCTGTTTTGGGAATAGTAATCCAAGTACACATCACTGCATAAGAGATTTCACTTATCCTATTGGTCATGGTCTGGTGGTGCTCAGCAGCCAGAAATGAAAAAAAATCAGAGAAAATTTTCTGTAGCTGACAGTGTGTCGTGCACCTGAAATCAATTTGGAAGCAGCAAAGGCTGCAGAGACCACATTCCTCATAACTAGCGCTGCTGAGTCATGGCCTGAGACTGAACTGGCTGTGGTTTCTGAGAAACTGCAATCCAAATCAAATGCCTCATGGGCAGGTATGACTGTGACAAAGTCCATGTCAGAGAGATGACGTGCAGATCTGCTTAAGTGCAGATGCAGATCCTTGAGTTATCTGTGCATGCATAGCTATACAGCCCACATTGGCTCTTCCCCAAAATGTAGACTTTGGATAGCAATGGGATAGGCGACAGTGAGTCAAAAACAAGCCAGCATCATCCCCAGTGACTCTCACCCCCCCCCTTCAAATTGCCAAAAGAGCTATTCAGACCATAGCCATAGCTAGGATTCACAAACAGGTCAATAATGTTTCTTGAACAAATGGATCAAAAGCTGCTGATAGATCAAAGAATCTGCCTGGGGTTCTGACCTCTCTTTGGTCACCTCTAGGAGCTGCTCATCCCCTAACAGAACTAGAGCCTGTATGTCATGCTCAGCCTGGGAGAGGGGGAAGAAATGCAAGGATGCTATGTCAAGTTAGGGTTGCCCCATGACAACCTTGCTAACAACCATATCAGAAAAGGAAACATTAGACACAGGATAGCACTCAAAATGTATATCAATGAAAAAACAGGGCTGGGGTGGTTCAACAGGCACCTATCTTTAACTTGCTTAAAGAAAGCTTTTTACTACTTTTACTGTGGAAGTGTTTTACTACTTCCACAACAACATGTTGGACTACCTGTAAAGCACCAAACTAAAACCTCCCTACAATGTCAGGCAGTGAAACAGGGACAAAGTTGATGAAGTAAAATTTCTTGGCTTTATCCTCAGAACTTGGATCAAATACTAAAAAAATGCTTAATGCAGTCCTCGTGATATTTATTGTAAAATCTTTCTCTCTGCTGTCTGTGGTCCAGCCTGCACCTGCCAAGTGAATGAGACGTCTCTCTGAGGCACGGCACCAGGCAGAACCAACCCTTGCCGCTGGGGAAACAGGACCCTGAAGTTCCTGAGTCCCACTCATCCCAGGAAGCAGGTCATGACAGAAGGTGTT